GGAGCACCCATGATACAGACCCTGGCGGGCAGAGGCAGAAATGGCTCAGTGTGCTGCTACTTCCCTTTCCCCTCCATCTGGGGGAATGGCAGCGCAGTGACATGCTCTGCCGAAGGCTTTCCCCTGCCGTAATGGTGGGTGTGGTGCTAGAAGCAGCAGGGGACACAGAGCACCAACTAAATCCCCTTACCACCACCACCACCATCTCCTTGCATTTCCATCCCTCCCTCCCTGGCCTGGAAATACCTTTAATCTGGCAATCCTTCTTTCCCAGTGTTATTGGATTTAAAGAGGTTCAAGTGTATGTACATTCAGCGTCTTTGCCTGGCAGTCCTACAGTGCTCAGGAGAACCACTGTGGTCATTTGTTACCGCACATGACATTTAAACTATGACAGCGATGTGTTAAGTGTGGTCAGTTTGTCAGGCCAGCTGGGAATTGCAGCTCCATGACAGTGAACCCTTTGCCAGTTGGCTTTTAGGGGCTCTAAGGAAAGGGCAAGTTGTTCCCCCCTTTTGGGGGGTATGGCTCACATCCCTCGTTTACCAGTCCACCTCTGACATGGGAGGGCAGAGCCATAAAACCACCCTGTTTCGCTCCCTCATCCCTTGCTTGTCTACGGTCTACTGGGGAAGCCCGCCCGATTTTGCCGTAGTCAGGAGCTGCCAGGGCAAAGATGGGCTCATTCCTCTAGGCAGCCATGTGGCCACATCCATAGTATATACCTCGATAGCCACATGTGACGATTCATAGAAAGAGAGGAGAATATATATCCATGTTGTAAACACTGCTCTTGTTATGCTGGTGCACTGAACCGTTCGGTGAACGAAACTGTTCTATGTAGATTTGTAGCTATGCAAGCTCTGTTTTTGAGTTCTTCTAATATGAGCTGGAGGTACCACGGTGCATGTAGGCATCTGTGATCTGCAAAACAATGTGTGGGATTTCTTTACATGGTATAGCAATGTGTAATTTGTTGACCTGGCTACTAAAAAAATAGTGGCCTTAGATAAATTAACGGGAATGTTTCTGCTCACCTTCACAGTCAAAACATATCCTTGAAATATATTTAGATTCAGTGGCCTAAAGTGACATAGTCCAAAACTTTCCCACTGTAAGAATGAATTATTGATTAATTGCTGTGCTACCCAATTGTTCTCGAAGATCAGGAAAGACTATTGCACTAAAACAAGGAAGGTCTTCAAATTAAATATGGTCTCTTAATTGGCAATTTCAGTCTCAGCTGCTCAAGATTCCCAACACGTGCAAAAAGATTGATGCCACATTGTTATGCAGCATCTGAATAATTAGGAGCTATTTGTATGCGTGTGTAAGAAAAAAAACTTTCTGTAGTTTTAGTTACAAATACTTCACCAAGCTCCTACTGAGCCAAATCCCTGTGCTTTATATGGCACTAGATCTGGGTTATGGATTGGGATGTGAGCTGCGTGCAATTACTTTGTGATGCCTATTTCTATTTTATCCTCATTTTAATAAGTAAAGGCCGGGTGAATTGGGGTGAGCCATCTTAAAAGCTCATTTTCAGAGGGTGGGTGCATAGCATGAAAAATAAGGCTTTTTTAAGATGCTTTAATACTGGACTCCAAAAATCACTAGTGACTTCTGAAAATTTAGGCTTAAAAGTATAGGTCAGTTTATCTCATTGGATTTCAGACTGTGGATGTTGCAAGTATCCTTTGACTATTGTAGAGTAAGTCATTGTGCTCTGTTGTATGAGTGAAATGTTCTAAATCAATCACAATACTCTTTGACTATTGTAGAGTAAGTCATTGTGCTCTGTTGTATGAGTGAAATTTTCTAAATCAATCACAATACTTAGTACATATGTTGTGCTCTTCACCTTCAAAGAGTTTTACAAACTGTTCCTATCTCTTATGAGGTACTGTGACAGGGTGGATGGGGCCCTGAGGCCCTCTGCTGGAGGTCTTGTGGTCCTGATGCGTGTGACAGGGTGGATGGGGCCCTGAGGCCCTCTGCTGGAGGAGGACTTGTGGTCCTGATGCACTCTGCCCCAAAAGAGGGCAGTAGAGAGGTCCTCCAAGCTGCCTAGACATAGCTGTGTGGGATATAACCAATCAGGGCCCAGCAGATCAGTATAAGAAGAGCTGTAGGGCCAGAACCAGTTCAGATCCTTGCTTGAACTGGGAGAGTGTGAATGGATGGTGGCTGGTTGAAGTTGCTTCAAGACCTCAGATGAGGTAGTGCTGCCAGAATCTTGGAAAAGCCAGGAGCCCTGAGCATGTTTGCAGGAGCTCCTTTGGGACAATGCCCTGAAGTAAGGGTGGAGACAGTGCAGGACCATGGAAAAGTAGCTCAAGGAAGTAGAATAGCAGCACAATTTAGATAAAGGGTAACGACGACCGCTGCTATCTATAGGGCTCCTGGGCTGGAACCTGGAGTAGTGGGCAGGCCTAGGTCCCACCCCCTAGCCAATGTTCCTTTAATCTTTTCCATCCATGTGCAGAATAAATGTTTATGTGCACCAAAGTGTATGTATCACCAGTAGAAACACAAACCTTAGCTGTGGGTACTCTGCTAATCAGCTGGGTGTCATTAAAATCTCTCCTGAGTGGCTGCACAAGAGCACAGCCTACAGGGCTATTAGCCACTGTTAGCCATTATGGGCTGTGGTCTGGCCACTGTGGAACCTCAGAGGGAGAACAAAACTCTTTGTGTCCCAAGTGAAGAGCTGGGACCAGAAAGGCCATGAGAGGGTGAAGACATTGCTTCCAGGAAGAAGCCCTGGGGTGGAGCAAGCTAAGCAAGACATTATAAAGAGCACTCAGAGAGGCCCCTCTTGGATTTATACCCCTGAAAGGGGTTTTGCTTTGCTTTTATCTGACTGTGTATGGCTTTGGCCAGAGGGCCGAGTCAGCGAAGACCCACCATAGTCAGACAGAGAGAGAATGCAGGGACATGTTCTTTGCCATGAGAAGCGAGTGCAGCCTCCTTACAAGTACATGATAGCAGTCCTCTTTACGAGACAGGGAAAAATGAGGCTGCCTCCTTACAAGTACATGATAGCAGTCCTCTTTACGAGGCAGGGAAAAACAAGGCTAGGAGGGAGGACATGGAGAGTCTGGCTGTCAAAGTGAAGGTTACAGTGCTGATAATTGTATAGTCAGTTGCGTGACTGCACTTTGCTTTTTTATGAAATACATTCAGGAGACTAAATAACTAATATCAGTCGGGTTTACGGCTGTAAACCAATAATAATGCAGTACAGGATAAAGGTTTACACAAGTCTCTGGGGAACTGTTTGGAGCAGTGTTATTATATTCTCCCATATTCACCATAGAAGGTGTGCTCCCATAGTTACACGTTTTAAGTGGGAGTATTTATAGGATAATTTTACCAGCTACAGAACTCATAAGAACAGGCCCATCTCGTCAGACCAATTGTCCATCTGGCCCACTATCCTGTCTTCCAACAGTGCATTACAGGAAATGGAACAGTACAGAGAGTCATCAAGTGATCCATATACTGCTGCCCACTCCTAGCGTCTAATAGAGTCTAGAGTCACTCAGAGCATGGGGTTGCATTTCATTTGATGACTCCCTAAAGAACATGGAACACCCAACCCATCTTCTTCCCAGAGAAGGATGTGACTTGTTTTGTGAGCTCTGCCAGATGTTCCTCTGTGTCTAGGTGCCCTGGTGCACTGTTGGGCGTGGAACTAGCTGCCCAAAAAGAAGCCTGAGTGATGCTTGCTGTTTATGTAAGAAGGATGTTGGCATCTTACAAGCAGGTTTTTGGTTTAGTTACATTGGAAAACAGATTTGGTTAGCATGCCAAGGCCACTAGAGTCCTGGCAAAGCCAGTGGCTGCCAGTGTAAGTGTAAATAACACTGTGGGATTGGCTAATACAGGTACCTATTGAGAAAAAAAAAAGCTGTTAGGGATGTGAATAGCCAGCCACAATTAACTAATGAATGTCGTACATTTCCCTATTCCATGTGAGCTTGCTTTAGTAACAGAGGAGACCCTTATGTGCTACTTGTATGATGGCAGGTTAAAGAAACCCCCAGCCTAAAATAAAATTGTGAATCTGTGCAAGACATTCATCACGTGGAAGAGAAGGGCCAGTCTTAGTTGGCCAGATTTAGACCATCATGCTGATTTGTCCGTTCTCCTCTGTCACCTACTGGTTTTTCATTCTCTCCTGCAAGTTCTTGCTCATAGAACATGGTGTCTTCCTCAGCAGCAAAAACGGTGGCAACCTAACATTCGGTTGATTCTGGGTTCTGGGTCTTAACCTGCCACCTTCCACCTCTTCTCCAGCCTCCTAGGGATAGACATCTATTCCACATTTGTGGTGGTTCCATCCAGGTGAAGGAGAAAAGACAACTTCTCTGAAGACTTGTGGCTCCAATGTGATATGCCAGAAGGCATTTCAGTGCCCTAACTGGACCTGGTCGTAAAAGCAATGATCTAACGGTTGTCCTAGTTGCAAAGAGTTATCACTGGCTTCAGTTTCATTCTGCAGAACATTGAGGACTTCAAGTACCAATGGTGGGACATTGTGCAGGATGTAGCAAAGAGGAAACTTTCCTCTTGTAAGGCTGTCATCGGTGACACCTGTGGAGGATCATTCCCCTCCCCCAAATCCCTTCCCATGCCATAAGGAAGTAGTGTTCTCTCCCTTTGCCCGTGTCAGTGGTCAGGAAGGGCCCATGTGAGTACAAATGTCTCTTTGACTGTTCACGCCCAACGGACGGCGCATGGTTGCTAGCAATGTGCTCCCCTTTAGGGCTCTCATTCCTTCAAGAAAAGCAGTTAATTGTCGTAGTGCACTTCTGTATCGGGGGGGAGAAGGTTGAGAATTCATTTTTGCCCAATGGGCACTCTACTGATTGTGGTGTGCCCCCTTCCTTAATGAGTCGTTCGTATGCATTTCACTGTCAGGATGTTTGAAAACCCACCACTGCTTTTCCACAAGGGAGCTTACCCTCAAACTGATGCAACCTCTTTCTTCTCAGGTGCCTCACGATCATCGGTCACCCGATGCAAGCCGGGAGTCAACTGCCCCAGCACGCGCAGCGGCATCAGTAGGCAGCTCTCCCCTTTATCTGCTGTGGAAGACTCTTCTGCTCCCATTCTTGAGCTGCAGAGTCGAAGCCCCTCTGGAGTCTGCCGGCACAGCAGAGTCGAGGGGCAGATCCGATCAGGTAGGCACATGAGCCGCGTCTCCGGCAGGGCGCGAGGCCTACGATAGGCTGCCTTCCTCTGTCTCGGAAGGATGCCGTGGTTGGGGCAAAGCCAGAAAGCATTGACGTGGTCTCCTGTGCCATGGGCCGCACAGCCACACGAAAGCCTTTTCTTTGCAAATTGTGGTTTGGGAGAAGGCATGGACCTGAATGTGTTTTAGTATCTGAGAAGCTGGATGCATACGCCCAATAGACACAGAAGACCTTTAAAGGATGACAAATAACACCCAAGTTAAGTCTTACAAAGCGCCCACAGCTGTCAGCACGTGTTTCTACTGGGGGTGCACATCCACACATGCCTTGATGCACACAACAAAATTTATTCCTCACACAGATGGAACAAATTAGAGGGAACATTGTCTGTAGGCCACCCTCTCAGACTCTAGGTCCCAGACTCATTATTCAGAATTGTTATTGGGTTTTTTTTATCCTTGTTGGTGGATGAGACTTCTGCAGTGCTTTATTGATTTAGGAGCCGAAATCCCATGGATTTTCAAAGGAATTTATATGCTACTGACTCTTCTACTCTATAAGAACAATTAAACCCGGGACCCATGTAACTTTTTGAACCAAGCAAGAACTCACAATGAGTGTATCTGTTGTTTTTCATTAACCTCCAAATCTGGAAAAACTTGAAAAACAACAAATGGTCTAGCAGCACCTTAAAGACTGACAGAACATGTAGATTAAGCATGTCAAACATGCGGCCCGATTGAATTATTTTGTGGCCTGCGACTACATGTTTATGAATTATCTGAGTGCGGCCCACTGGGTTCTGAACCACACGCCTGGACTACTCACGCCCCAGCGCCTGCTCACAGCCAGCACCTGGAGGGAGACTGGGTTAGAGCAGAGAGGCTGGGGGTGCCTGGCTCTGGGGGAGAGAACGCTGAAGCAATTATTCTGAGATATGAGTCTCTCCCTTATTGTTTCTGAACCTCTCATATTTGCAGTCTGGGATAGACCTGAATTTTTAGAACTATAAAAAAGCCATAATCTTCATAGGTTAAAAAAAAAAAAGAGGAAACCATACCAAAGATCAACAAGCTGGAGTGAAACAGGCACTTCAAATTTACTTCTCAGTTCAGTTTAATTTAATATTTTGTTTGTTATTTATTTATTCCCACATTAAATCACAAAACGTATTATATTAATTTTATATCAATAAATATATCCATTTTTTGCAATCACACGAATAATTATATGTTTATGCAAAATCTCAAACTTACAAAGTATCTCAAACTTTCACAGAAGCCTGTTATAGTTTATTAACCACTGTCTATACTTGTTTTTATTTGAACAAAACAAGTTATGTATCATAAAAAAAATTAAAAAGTACAGTACTTTAAATGTATATTTCAATTAAAAAATATTATATATGAACACATAACAGCAATTTTACACATCAAATTATTGTATTATTTTCAAACAAGACCTGACAACATCTTATAAAATATACCTAAAACAATCTATAATAATAAATAATTACGACTTTCCGATAGAAGTACATTTTCGTTGGTGGCCTTGAAAGCTAGCCGTTTTCATTTGTGTGGCCCTCAGTAGGCGTCAAGTTTGACATGCCTGATGTAGAGGGTATCGTGAGTGTTTTGTTAGTCTTTAAGGTGCTGCTAGACCATTCGTTATTTGTTAAGATTTCCAGTTACAGAATAACTCGGCTACCCCTCTGAAGCTCCAAATCTGGGACTGTAAAATCTAAACCAAATGCTAATGATACTTCATGCGTAGTTATAGTGATTACATAGTTGTTTGGTATCTGGAAAATGTAGGGCTTATGCAACAGTGTTTTAAAATTGTGTTGTTCTGTGATTACTGTAACAATTAGATCAATGAGAGTTAATTGCATGGTAGGTCTGCTTGGCAGGTTGTCCCACCTGTGGATGCTGTATAACATGTTTTGTTCCCGCACCTCTGATTTGCAAACAAACTATAATTTACCTTTCTGTTGTAGGTGTCAGTCATTATGAGTATGACTAAAATGTCTTGTTCTGGCTCCTGCCCACCACCAGTTAAAGAGAGCGTTTTTACAAAAATGCAGTCATTTTAACACACTTTTCAAAGCACCCTCTTATTATCCTCTTCATGGTATGAGTAGATCTTTAATTTTATTTTACTCTTTCTTTGCTAGTACACAATGGAAGAGCTAATGGCTGTCGCTTTGAGATGAAAAAGGCTCTGCCATCCTTGTCTGACACGCTGTTGCCGGATTGGCTTCACTGTTGTGTTTTCTATAACTCAACTCTTTTATGAGGATAGATTTTGGCATGCAGCTCAACCCCCAACCTGGAGGTCCAGTGCAGACCAAGGACTGGCCCATATTCTTTGCCTTCT